GCAAATCTAAAAGGTCTAAGCCGCCAGCCGCCTCTGTGTCCTCGTAGAAGGCGTTACGATGGTGGTGCTGCTGCTGCTGTTGCTGCTGCTGCATCATCTTCTTCTTGTTCTTGGCCGTGGTGAGACCAAACGGTGAGCTTGCAATGGCGACGACAGATTTCTTGGCGGAGCTGGAGCCCTGCTGTGAGAATCGTGCCGCACGCTGTTGCAAGCGCGCTGTGTCATCATCAACGGCTCCGCCAATGGACGACTGGTTGGAGTAGAAGTGAGGCGGCTTCTTTTTCGCCTGGCCGGAGTTACCTCCGGAGCCCGCGGCCGCTGCTGCAGCTGCGCGCTTGCCCTTCTTCACCAGCATTTTCTGCTGCTTGCGGGTCAGGTTCCCGGTGAGTGGTATGAAATTTAAGGATTCGTTCGAGCCCGATTTGCGGATAACTTTACGCGCCGGTGGACTGCTGGCATCGCTGCTGCGGGAGCACGATCGGGAGCGGGGGGACCGCGAGCGGGAACGCGAATGGGAGCGCGACGGCGAGTACCGCTTTTTGCTCGAGTATTTCAACGAGTTAGACGATGAAGGCGAACTGTAAAGGGTTTAAAAAAAAAGACTGGTTTAGCGTTTGTGTTCAATTTGTTATAGAGACATGACGCAACTCACCGCGAACGACTCCTGGAGTACCTGGACGACGAAGAGTGATGATGCGAACCGTAGCCGGATGACGACTTGTTAAACTGATTGCTTTTCTGCTTGAACTGATTCACGATACCCGAGGAGCTCTTGGCTGTAACCTTTTCCGGCTCTCGGTCCCGCTCCCGCTCCCTCTCTTGCTCCAGCTTCTTCTGGAAGTAGTTACTTCGCTGCGGCTGAGGGGGCGTCACACTGTTCAGCACCACTTCGATGCCATCCCGCTCGCTGTGCACCGTAGGCATGGGCTCGTTGTCCCAGTCCCGCGTCCACAACTCGTTACGATTGGCCGCCGCTATAATCTTGCCCTTTAGGCATATGTCAATCTGATCCTTGTCGAGGTCCGTGTTGCACTTTGAGTAGCAACGGGCCACGTATTGATTGAGGGCATCCGGCCAGGAGTCGTTGGAGGCCATTTGAAAGCTGTTAGGGCGCTTAAAGGTCGATGTTTGCGCAGGAGCGGGAGATGCAGTCGTCTGCTGTTGCTGCTGCTGTTGCTGCTGCTGTTGCTGTTGATGTTGCTGTTGGGGATTCTCTAAGGGAGCCACTATGGCTAGTGGCAATGGTGGTGGTGGCTTGCTTAAATCCGGAGTGGCCAGCACGCCCACATCGCTGGCGCTAATAATGGGCGGTGGTGGTGCTATGGGTGTGGCTTGTGCTTGATTGGAAAACGGATTGCTATATGTTGTTTGATCAAAACTTTTGTTTTTGTTGTTACGCTTGCGCTTCTTTTTGTTGCTGTTGTTGTTGCTGTTGTTATTGTTGTTGTACAATTGCATAACCTGTTGCTGTTGTTGATGTTGCTGCTGCTGCTGATGTTGCTGCTGCTGATGCTGCTGCTGCTGTTGAAGTTGCTGCTGCTGTTGTAGGGGATTGGGGCCACTGGCCAAACGCTTTTGGTTTAAATTCAAATTAAAACGTATTCCCCCAAAATTCTTTTGCTGCTGTTGTTGCTGCTGCTGCTGCTGCTGTTGCTTGTTTTGTCCCGGTGGCTGGCCGATTTTGGGCGGAGGCGGTGGCGGCGGACCCGAAGGAAGGGGCGGCTGCACCGCCAGCGCATTGCTGAAGCCGGGCGGCGCATTCGACGCACTCACCGTCGAGGTTACCTGCTGTTGCTGTTGTTGCTGCTGCTGGTAGCGCATGTAGTACTGGTAGTACTGCTGATACTGTTGCTGGTAGGCGACATTTTGGTTGGCATACCAGGCGTAGTTGCTCCATTGCTGGGCCAGGGCGGCGGGATTACCCCCCTGTTGCTGCTGCTGTTGTTGCTGCTGCTGCTGCTGCATCTCCTGCAGCTGCGGAATCAGGGGCGGCGGAGCACTCATGGCCTCGGACATGGTACTCCCTCTCTTGCGACTTCTCTAAAGGTTGCTTTGCTTTTTTTTTTACCTGAACTTACCTTTGTGTTTTTGCTATTTCAGCCCCTGGTTTCGAAACAAAGGGTACGAAAATGTGGAAAATTCGCTGATTAGTGTGTGTGTGTATGTGTGGTGGCATGTGACGCCATTTTTATTTCTTACCTACTTTGACCTCCGAGAACTTGCACTTTTGACTTTAATTTCCGCGTGTCAAACGCCGTTTTTGCAACGATAAATAAGTAAAACGACTGGGCAACGCATATACCTAAATGCGTGCGCACGAATTCACTCGGAATAATCAACTTTCTGCCTGCTTTCTTCACGATAACTTAACACGTCTGAACAGATGAACTATTTTTTCATGACGAAAATGAGACAGAAGAATCGATGAAGAGAGCTGTCAACGAATTTAGTGTGACCATTGCTTGCTGCGTCAAGAATCCGAACTACACAGCAAATACTGCATTGCAACACTTGACGTTGGGGGTATTCCTGAGACGTTGAATCTTGAAATATTACAAAAAATTTTAACAGCAGCTTCCAAATCTTTAGTTAAAAACTAAAATAACTAATCTAAGACTACTATTAGGATACCTAATTGGGTTTTATAGAAAAAAACCTCTGCAGTTCGAAAAAAAGTTAAAAAGAAAATCACAATTTGATAATTTTTTACTTAATATTTTATAACAAGGTACATTTGAACTTTTAATTATTTTTTAATTATTCAGTTTAAAATAAAAACGAACAGGAACGGCCTCAGTTGAAATTTCTTCTTGTGCTTCATATTAATAAGGCATAGTTTCTTAAATCTTTGCTTGGACTTTTGGGTCATATTTTTAATTTGACCTTTTATAAATGACTTTATTCTTTATGTAAATTGACATACAAAATTAAATTCAGCTTGATACCGATTTTGGATGAACTTTTCTTTTAGCATTGCTTCAAAGAGTTACCATGTTTAATTGTATATAAATTGTATTGTATTGCAATTTGAGTTTTTATAGATTGTTAAAACGTAATAAAAGACACCTACAATTTCCGATACCAAATAATTTGAATGTTATCTCAACAGTGAAAGTGCCAGGAAACGCCAATTCTGTGATTTCCATCAATCGGGTTTACGCCATCAAAAGCCGCATGATACATGACATCAACATTTTCGCCGATTTTCGACTGATAGACAAACCCAATTCTTGAGTCCTCTCGCACCTTAGCCTTTAGCAACGTTCCATTCTGAAGGGCATACTGAACTCCGATCGCAAACTGCTTTACATTTTCTGAGCCATATAGATTCGATTTAATAGCGAATGCCCATCCCTCGCCAAACCGTCGAAAGATCGACCCTCGCAGGTCACCGAAGTTCTCTCTGCAATTTAAATTATTAAAAATTTTTTATTTACTGAACTTAAACAAAAAGATCATACAGCTTAAGGCCCACTTCGGTTATCCCATCGTTATAGGCCAAGCATAAAGCGTGCTTATCGAATCCCTGATCATCTAAGTTGTAAACTGTTCGATATCCCAGCAGCCAATTCTCGATTGGAGCAACCAGGATGTAACCCATACAAAGAGGTTCCTTATAGAGGGGTACCACCAGTTCCACTTTCACAGGATCACGCTCAAAGCCACACTTCAGCTTGGTTTTAAATGTCACTCTATAAAGAAAGCCAGTTGAAATATTTGTCTATGGTAATAAGACTCCTTTAACCCTCTACATGAATATAAAAATAGTAAAGAATTGTTTTTTAACAGTATGTGTTTTTTTAGGTACAAATTATATAGATTTTCCTTTTAAGGGCATAGTTTATTTGATCAAAAATTATTTGACAAATTATAATTTAAAATAAACATATTCTGTAAGAATAAAAATAATATTAAAAAATATTTTTAGCGATAAGATGTTTTTTAACAAAGCCAATTAAATTTCAGACGGCTGCACAAAATTGATTGAATCTGAGATAAGGCAATAAAAAAAATGTCTGAATATATAATTTCCACAGAAAAAATGTTTTATCCATAATAGAAATCGATTTTGGCTTCATATAAATCTACGCTTACTAAAAGTGCCAATTTTCGCAAAGGTTTTTTATCTGGAAAAGCTCTGAAATATGGACAAATACCTAAAATAAGAAGTACTCACTCGTCTTTCGTGCCCATTGTCGACTTGAGGAGTGCATACCACTGACTGCCGAGGCTCATGGCCCGCACTCCAATCTCCGACAGAAATTCGTTGTTGGTAAACCAGCCCAAGGAGACACTACAGTTGCCGATCTCCTGGAATGCCTCCAGTCCCCCAAAGACGGAATCCACGGTCGGATAGCCCTCGCCGAAGCTGCTCAGGTAGCAGTCTTTGTTCGTCCTCGTGGTGCACTGCAGCTGCCAGGCGCCGAGCTTGAATCCAGTGAGGAGGCACTCCTTGGCCAAGGCGCCCACGTGGAAGTAGGAGGGCATTTCGCCCTCTGCCGGAGGTGGGGGTATGATCTCAACTTCAACCTCCTGGTCTGACGCTTCAGATGATTTCTGCTTTTCTGCCTCCTGCTCCTCCTTCTTCTCGTCTGACTTCCCATCTTTGGGATATGTGGTTGGACGGGCGCGCATCTTGTTCCGGCGAAACAAATTGCGCAACCGTTGATTCATTTTCGGCATTGTAAAAAATAGGTATATTACTCAAATAATTTTAAAAAAAATTTAAAATTTTTCTGGGAAACATATGGATTTGAAACTTTATTCAACATCTACTAGCTTACTCAAAAACAAAAGATTTGGCAAATGTAAACAGGAATTTTGGTCTAGTTTTTGGATCCGTTTTGGACAAAAATTTACGGGTGCTTTCACTCTTTTGACTAAAAGTATTATACCACCTGCAAGGGTATTAAAATCATTGAAAATAAAATGTGTTCGGCTGATAAAAAAAAATCATACATCTTAAATCTCTAGCGAATAAAACAAATTTTTAAACGCCATTTAAAGTTAAAAATTTAAAAATTGTATTCCATATTTAAACGACCAGAAACAATAGTCTACACATTAAAATACCAGGAAGCACCGCATTTATGCACACCATTAATGGGATCTTTTCCATCGAAGCCAACGTGAAGTAGAACTTCAATATCTTCACGAATTTTTCTTTGAAATATAAACCCAAGGCGAGTATCTCCTCGAACTTTGGCCTTTAACAACGTGCCAGGCTCCCACTCGTACTGACCACCGATGGCGAATCTTTTGGCATTCACATTTCCATAGAGGTTCGCTTTTAAAGCCACGGCCCACTTTTCTCCAATGCGCTGAAATATCGATCCTCGAAGGGTTTGGAAATTCTCACTGAAATATTGGATTGTAATTAAATTAAACTTGTCGGAAATAACCTACAGCTTTAGTCCCACTTCCGTTGAACTATTATTATAGCCGGCACAGATGGCGTTCATAATAAAATTCCTATCCTGCACATTGAATGCTGTGCGGTAGCCTAACAAAAAGTTGTTGGCAGGCTGAACCAGGATGTAGCCCATGAAGAGTGGTTCCTTGTAAATAGGAACATACAGCTCCACCCTCCCGGGCTTACGTTCGAAGCCGCACTTCACTTTGCATTGATAGGCAACTCTGTAAAATATAAACATCGAATAACATTAAATTTAACCAACATTGTACACCAGTTAACAAAATATGAAGCTGTTTAGCAAACTTATAAACTTAAGCTAATTAATAATCTCTGGAAAAGAGAAGCGCTTTAAAAAAAAAAACACTTAATAATAAAGTTATGTTATACAATGAAATATTTAAGAAGTAGTTATTTTTTTAATGAAACTTGGAACAAGAGGATCTCGTATTTCATAATTATTATTATAAAGTCAAACTAACCGGATTCTCGATGTTTTTTAGCAATCTAAAGTCAAGTTGGATCCTCCGCAATTGCAAAAGAAAGACATTAGAATTAGAAATTTTCTAAGTTAAGATTGCTTATAAAGACTTCAGGGAATTAACCAAATCTAACAGATTAGTCATCTGCGACTCACCCTTCATCCGTGCTGACCACAGACTTCAGGACGGAAGACCATATCCCGCCCAGACCTTCGCCACGTGCTCCAAGGTCGGACAGCATGTCTCCGTCGGACAACCAGGCGAGGGATGCGTGGAAGTTGCCCTCCTCTTTGTAGGCCTCCAATCCGCCGTAGACAGAGTTCCAAGTGGGATAGCCCTCGCCGAAGCTGCTCAGGTAGAAGTCACTGTCGGTCTTCGAATTGGACTGCAGCTTCCACGCGCCAATGGAGTAGCCGTGGACGAGGCACATTTTCGCCAGGAGACCGACATGGAAGTAGGAGGGCATTTCGCCCTCCATCAGCGGAGGCGGAAGGATCTCCACTCTGTTCTCCTCCTTAGCTGCTGCTTCCTTTTCCTGGGTGCCACCACCACCTTCATCAACAGGGTCAGCATCGGAATCCGATTGCAAACGTTTCCGTTTGTTTCTCCTGAACAAGCTACGTATCCTGTCCCTCATCGGCATTGTGCAATTTTAAGTTAATACAACACTGGGAATTTTGGGAGCGTTTCAATTCTGATACAACGTTCAATGCGGCTCTGATTTTGATTTACTCTTTTAACCAAGAAATTAAACCGCAACAAAAAGAACGCTTTAGAACTCGATCCGACTTAGCTAACAAATTGTAAACTGATAATCTGGGTCTAGATTGCGCCATCTGTCGGACTGTATTGCTATTTTTTTACATCAGCGATCTCCACAGCCCTACCTTACGAGCATAGGATAGTGTTTAACCAGCAGAGCAGCGGCAGAGAGGCGGCAAAGACAGTGTTTATTGATAAATACGACCGAAACACACATATACAGCCCAATACCTTATCTTTATCTCGCTTTCTTTTTAAATTTATTTGAATATGTTTCGATATATAGTATGGAATGAATTATGGTTTAAATTTGATTAAAATCAAACATCGAAATCATATAGCTGTCACGCAGAAAAAGATTCGGCGCCAAATCGGCATTTCTTTTATGTTTTTTTAAATGCATACGAACCAAAATATTTTAGTTTTAAAGAATATTTAAGGGTTTTAAATTTTAGAATCAAAAAATACAATTGTTCGTATATGTCCTTTTAGATTAGATAAAGCACGCTCTTCTATATAATTTAATTCTACCAATTAATTAATTCTAACTTATACTTTTGCTACGATGAAAAGCTAAATATATTTGTCATTCGAATAAAGTTAAACCAATTTGGAAATTGAAATCGTTGAGTGACCGGCGTCAAAGCGCTCAGCACTGCAGGGCCACGCCCACGCCGAACCGGTGGTTGCCGTCCTTGAGGCTGTTGCAGTCCAGCACAGCGGATATGGAGCCAGTGATGCCCTCGCGCAGCTTCTGCTCATAGCCCAGGCCCAGCTCCACAGCGTTGTTGATCTTGGCGCGGATGAGGGCGTCCTCCTCCAGGTGGTAGATCATGCCCAGGCTGACACCCACATCTCCGCCGCCACCCTCGGCCTCAGCCGGTGGCTGACCATCGGGACCTGGCTCACCACCTCCGCCGCCGCCTTTGGTGAGCTCGGCACCAACATCGATCTTCTCGCTTGCCTTGTAGAAGAGTGAGGCCAACCAGGTGTCGCCGTTCTTCCTGCAAAATGGAGAAATGGTTGAATTAAAAATCTTCTTCAGTTTTCAAGCCCTTTCCTGGCACTTACAACTCGCCATGGATGGTGGCTGTTTCGTTCGTCCAGCCAAGGGCTACCTTCCAGCCCTTGAAATCGGTGTTCCCAATGTCAAACTCTGCGCCCACGCCGCCCAGGAACTCCTTGTGGCCCAAAACCAGCGAGCAGTTCAGTATCGGTTCCGAGTTTAGTCCAATGTCGGCCAGAAAGTTGTAGTTATCCTGAGCAAAGCCCATCTTAAACTTGGCATCAGCCTCGCTGTTGGCGGTAAATTAATTAAAAATATATTTTAAAACATTAATTCAATTTTGTTTATAGGATAAACGTTGAGATCACAGTGACTATTAAAGCCTGTGCAGGGCAAGTTTTTCCTTATAATCTGGCCACACCCACTCAAACGCCCACAAATTGCGAGTCTCTGTCATATCCCTCTGAGAGTCCAGTTTTTAGGGGGTATATGTTTATTCGGTCAATGTCTATCAACATCCCAAAAACTTTCAAAATCGAAGCATTATTTAAGAAGTTATTAAGTAATTTTAAGTTATGACGTCACTGCATCTTTGAAAAACGGAGTTCAAATATTTGAGAACGCTGCTCGTCCTCTTCAATAGATGGCGACACCTAATAACTGTTAATTGGTAATATCTACTTGTTTACATAGCCTACTCTGCACAAAAATTTCAAATAATTGGATACAACGCCCCTACGTACTTTGATTCCGGCTGAACCTTGGCTTCGAGGGCTAGCATCAGACCCTGGGCCAACTTGTCGCGCTGCATTATTTCGCCGAAGAGCCACTTGTCCGTGCCCCAACGCTCCGTGAGGGTCAGACCTTGGTCCTCGATTTTGTATTTGCTCTGCAGGGAACCGGATACCTTGCTGTTGTCCTGGCTGGCGAAGCCAGTGGTGAAGAACTCGATGCCAGAGTTGGACATGGTTTTGCAGTCGATCTGCCAGATTCCCGGATGGTAGCCGCGCTTGAAGAGATCGCGGGCCAGCTTGCCCAGTTCGGGATATGTCGGCGGTACAGACATTGTGGGCGGAATGTATAGGTGGTGTGGTACGAAAGGCCCGACTGATTTAGGAATTTTTTTTACTTTACGCCTTAACAGCCTCGATTAGTCGAAAATTTGTATACAATGCTGTCTGATATGTTTAGAGATTTGTACAGCCTGGATGCCTTTGAACTGAAATGCATGGTTTCCTTTGTCCCAAAACCCCACATTTTATGGGTTCATTGAACGATATTTAAAGCTTGCAACTTAGTTGATATTTGACAACACCGTTAAAATTTAAACGAAATTCGATTATGAAAAGGAAACTACGAAGATTTACTTTACAGTTTTAACAATTGCTATGGGTTGCAAGATAAAATAGTCCAATATATTGTAAATTAGCAATATAACCCATTTATATAAAATATTACCAAAATATGGGAAATTAACCTAATATAATGCTCTCACACAATACTAGTTTTATTTATTTAACCGATAACTTCAATTAAGAAAGTTAATGCGGGTTTTGTCTGAACGCTATAAACCTAATTCTAGCATTGGATTTATATTGAAACAATGATTGCTCAATGATTTTCCTTGATTAAATGGAAATATCATAACAAAATAACTACCTTACGTAATAACTAACAAACAAACCGAACAAAATTTCAGTAAACGTGACATTTTAACCCAAGTTATTTGAATTCAGCTTTCTGGACCAATCCCGCACTCCATCAACGCTGCAATCATGAACATTAGTTTCTTCTCGATTTATTTCTCATGTAAATGCACAACGAAAAGTTAAAGATTGTTAATAATTATGTAGTTTGGGGTTGTGTGTGTCCTTGTTTTGCCGCTACCCCGAAAGCCCTGGCAACTGAAAAAATGCAGTGCTATTTGAGTCATAATATTCCTTTTAAATTTTGTGTTTTTTTTTAATAGGTAAATGTATTTTTACTGTACTTTTGCCAACAACAAATTTGCTAATTTCAATGCACTAATCAAAGCTACATCCAACGACGACGGACTGGCCGACCAACCCATTGACCCACCCACCCCCTTGCATCGTTTGTTGGCAGTGTCTCTTCTGCAGATTCGGGTGGCTGGGCAGGGAGCGGGCGGATTTGGTGATGGCCGGGTGACAACTGATCCAATATATTCGTTAAGATGTGCAGATTCCCTTTATATTTGACTGTGTGTTGTTATTTTTTGAAGAATATCTTTTCACGTTTATTTTTTGTTCTTGTTGTTACTGCACTGCTCTTGTTGCTGCTGTTGTTGTGGTTGTTGTTCTTGTTGTTGGGCGTGTGGGGATGTTAGACAACGTTCAAGGATTCCTCGACTGGCGGGAAATCAATGGACTTAGGCCTCCAGCTCCAGACCAACACCGATCTTGTGGCCGCCGGCATTGAAGTTCTTGCCATCGACCAGCGTGGACAGAGTCAGGGTGACTCCGTCGCGGAGCTTCTGCTGGTAGCCCAGACCCACCTGGCTGGCGTTGTTGACCTTGGCGCGCACGCTGGCATCGTCATCCAGCTGATACTTGGCGCCGATGGCGAACTTGGTGTTGCTGGTGCCGCTGGCCCACGACAGCTGCACACCCACATCCAGCTTGTCCGAAGTGCGTTGGAAGATGGAGCCACTGAATTCCTGGCCGTCGTTGCTATTCCCGCAAATTAAACTATTAATTTTATTTCTTTTCAATGTGGTCAAATAGTAATACTTACACGGCTGTGTGCAAGACAAAGTCCTTGGTGGTGTAGCCAAGGGCAAAGTTGTTGGTGGTCAGCTTGGACTGTTGTGTGTCAAATGCGGTCTGGTAGCCGGCCAACCATCCCTGGTAGCCGAGCACGGCAGAAGCATTGATCAAGGGGCCCTTCAGATCAATGTTCACATCCGAATCAGCCTTGACGTTCTCATGGCCGTAGGCTACCTTGAACTTGCCGTTCTTGTTGCTATTGGAGGTGCAAAAAATTGTAAATTATTGAACTGCCAAAATCAACATTTCAGAATTAAATAGTTTTTCTAATCGTGACATAATCTTTTTAAAATATAGCTAGAAAGCTTTAGAAATATGTATAACAAATTGATGTTTTAAAAAGTATTCATTCTTGTAGGTCTTGAAAATGTTTGAGCCAATATGAACACCTATATTTATTTTCTCTATTTATAAGATGGCAAAAGATCAAAGTGCTGTATCAGAAAATCGGATCTCTTTTTTGAAGAAAGTTTTAGAAATAGTTTTCTAATATATACAAATATGTCATTTAAGACTGGAACCCCTGGCTTTAACCAATGTTAATGTTTATGTTTACTAGGTTTAGGTACAAAATAGTTTTCTTACCCAGACTGGGGGGCGAAGTTGCCCTCCAGGGACAGCTTCAGACCCTCGAGGAGCTGATCCTGGACAGCGACCTCAGTGTACAGCGAGTTGTCTGTGTTCCACTTCTCAGTCAGGGTCAGGCCGTAGTCCTTGACCTTGTACTTGGTCTCCAGGGAGCCGAAGACCTTGCCCGACTCCTGGTTGGAGTGTCCGGCTGTGTTGAACTCAATGCCCGACGAGGTCTTGGTCTTCAGATCCAGCTTCCACAGGCCAAAGTTGTAGCCTTTGCTGAAGACATCACGAGCCTGTTTGCCCAAATCGCTGTATGATGGAGGAGCCATCTGGAATACAGTTGATTTAAACGCGCCGCCAATTAGTTGGTGAATAATCGATAGTCGTAACGAAAAGGGTATTTATTGCGAAATCATTTCACTCGCCAGGTCAATAATTGCGTGTAACAAACGATGAGTTTTATGGACGGGGTCTGACTTAATCTAATCAGCAACTTGATGATAATTACTTTTTGTTTAAAATTAATTCGATGTGCTCTATCGGCCGTAAAAGAAAAGTGAAAACTAAAAGGGTAGCGAAGAAAACAGCATCAACATGGGCGAAGAATTTCACAGGCCATTTCCTCTTTTCACTTTGGCTAAATGTCAATTTTGTGCGGCAAAAATAAATAAATCAATTTAAATTAGTGTTCAAGGCAGCGGGAAAAGTAGCAAGTGTTCGAGAGGGGTTCAATGCACGTCTGGGGCAAAAGAAAATGCCGAGGAAAAGTGAAAAAATAGAACCAGAGAAGGAACTAAACATACTCATTGATATGATTAATTTGCTGTTAGTCGAACACCTAGAAATACTACTAGTTTATTAAAATGGTTTCTTTTAAATTTAAATTATGACAATTCGCATATGTATTTCTTTAATTTTTCTTTAATTTACAATAACAATACAAAGTGCTGAAGTCTCCAGAGATGATTTGTTTGAAGAGTGTGACTATACCATGATGATATTAGACAGATGATATTACAAAAAGGTCTTATGATTTTTTTCACATGACACACAAAATTGATTATTACTATCTTAAGTATTTTAGCAAGTGTGAACTTTTTTAGTTATTGATATCTATGATTCACTAAAGTAAAAATAGTTCCTATTACTCAGGCCATGGCTGTATACTTCCATGTTTACGTTCCGTACTTTGCTGGCTGTAATTGCTGGTCAGCTCGCTAGGCAAGCGATCATTGACACAGAAGCTAACTGCACATTTTCAGCATCTCCTTTGGTCTCTTCTTCGCTGTTTCTATTTGCGTGACGTCAGGAATGCGATTCACAGTCGCGGTAAGATGATTGAGCAAAGTGCTTATTATTTAAGTGTTTAATCAATATACATTTTAATTTTGTTAGTGCTAAGCGACATTCCAATTGTTTTTTTTTATATTTTTTCCGGCCTGTTTAAATATAATTTTGAAATTTTTTTTTTGTAAATTTGACATATTTTATATTTTACATGTACCAATTTTTCCCTCTGTGTAGGCACAATGAAAAGAACTAAAGGCAATCAAGGCGGAAAATTATGAAAAGCGCAGGCAGAAGTCGTTATGGCCAGCAGCCAAAAGGGAAATGGGATGAAAGTATTCCGATGTCAGGTGATATAACCCGGGCACTAGATAAATAAAATGCTGACCGATGGATTTCCCGGTGAAAATTAATCAGCATCTCGCTGGTGACCTTGACGAAGAGGTTAAAAAGTGGGAGGGCATGCACCCCTTTTTTTCGCCAGTTGCATAACACCAGCGAAATCGATGTTGCCAGAAAAACGAATAGCACGGAATGGTGCCGCCGCAAGGGGTATTGATTTTCCAGGTGACGTCACGGCGTATAGTTCCACCTACACCTCATAGTGCACTCCTCACATGACCACAAACAAACAGTGATAAAGAACAGTTGAGAGTAAATGAAAATGTTTATTGAGCGAGGTGGATGGCAACATGGCGATAACGAACGGAATTGATCAAAACAATTGAAACGAGAGCGCTAACACATTGGCTGCGAGTGTTACGTAACACAAATTTGCCAGGCACTTTTCCATAGTTTTTTTTCTGCCTCGTTCTCTTTTTTTCGCCGGCAGCTGCTGCCAATGAACTGTGCCTGCGATGGTATGTGTGTGTGTGTGTATGTTGGCTGACCGGCAGAATTTCCCCTTCGATTTTCGGTTTATCAATTAATTATTGTGCCAAACACTCCCGTTTGCTGATAACAAATCCCCTTTTCGTCAACCAAAAAGTGCTCAGCCTTCTGCGTTCATGCGCGTGTCTACTTGCAATTTTTTCGTTTCTAGGTTATGAAATCACTAGCACCGAAAACCCGATTTTCGCACTCTATGCGGAGTTTATTCCCTTTTCCCTGCCCTAATGGGGGATTTAGTACGGGCTGTACTTACTTTTAATGAGTTTTAGTTTGGCTAGAGTGTAATGCGAAACGCAGAGGAACAGAGACAACCACGACAAACGTACACCACAAAATTTTGTGATTGCCCGATGGCCGCCTACATCGATGCCAAAATCGATACCAGCATCGATGCCAACATCGATTTAATCGATGTTTTTAAAATACCTGTTCTATCGATATCTGACAGAGATTATCGATGTCTCTAACGATATTTTCTTGCCACATCGATGTTTATTAATCTTTAACTGCGGGAAAGAAAGACATGTAAATTGATAGTATATAAATATATTTAATTTTTCACTGCAATATTATATTGTGTTAAAGTTTCGGAAAAGTAAGGTTTATTGTACTAGGACCCCGAAATTAAGAATCAACTACATCGGTGTTTCTTCAAAGAGGCTGGAGCGTCCTCGATGCTTTCGTAT